TAGTAACTCCTCAGAAAAAGATGGCACCAAGATGACTGATACCTTCCTGAGTTTATTTTTGCATGTATTCTCTATTGCCATGACTTTGAACAGCACCTCTCTTCCTCTGGTGAAGCAGAATGGCAAATGGCAGCTGCTGAAGGCTGGGAATTCTGCCCTCTTTATCATATTTTCCAAATGCTGGCAGACACCTGCATTCCCATTCCTCAGCCCTCCAGCTGTTGTGCAACATGTGCATTTAGGGATTTGGTAGGTAAACACATAGTAAAGCTGTGTAGGGGAATATGCTAATTCATTCTTTATGGCAAGTGGTTACAGTGCTGTGCCGTGGGCCAGCGGCTGCACTGTGGCTTTCCTCAGCAGTCACTGAATCAGCTCAACTCTCCAGGGATGCGCTGCCAGCATGTGGCTGTTGTGCTGTGCCAACTGGAGAGGGATCCCAGCCTAAGTGCTCAGCTGAGTGCTCCTTCATCCCTGTCACAGGTCCCCTAGGAACCCCACAAGGACTGGCCCATGCCTTTGGGTTAGGTGCCTTGTCTTAGGCTACTACAATGCTGGCAAGACTGCAAGTGGCACCCTGCTGTCACCAAAACAACAAACCTTTCCAAGTGGGTGCACGTGCACGGCAGGCTTCAGCGCAGAAGCTGGCACAATGCTCTGCAAGCATTTGTTGGCTCACAACTGAGAATTACCCTCCTGTTCTTTCCCATGTCCTCATTGATTTAATTTCCACTGACAGACTGGGAATTGCACTCAGCCTGCTTGCCTGTAATGCATTTACACCCACCAGATGCTCAGCCAGGGTCAGAGAGAGGGGACATGGACTGCTGGTGTTTGTGCTGGTGCTGTAGGGTACTTACTGAGTGTCTCCAGCCCTCCTGTTGATTTTGAGGGTCAGCTCAGGTATTCAACATTTTCCTTAAGATTGGGGAAAATCTTATCTATATAATGGTACATTTGTCACATAATACATGGAAAATAGAGGAGGAGAAGTATATGCAGGTAGGTAAGAACTGTAGTGTGTTATTTGCTAGGTACCTGTGTAAGTAAGGTCATGTTCCCTCGTGCTGCCTCCCCTGAAGGGCTCTGCACAGTATGAGGTTGGAGATGGTCTGGTGCAACAGCTGGAGGTGAGGTCAAGTGAAGTATGGTTAAGAGGTGCTGCTGGAACCCACCCCCTTCCTTTTTAGATGCTTATAAAATTTGCACTAAAACTACACTTCAAAAGATCTTATTCAGGCTGCATCGCAGCCCAGTTATGAGAATTGAACTTTGTCTAAATGTACTTTGTCTACTGACACCTGACAGGTTAATTGTTATGAGAGCCTCAGGAGATGACAGAACAAGGTTAGAAGTGCCAGTAACCTACAGCAAGCATCCAATGTATTCCCTAGGGCCCTGCTGTTTGCTCTGAGCTTTGTGTAAGTAATATCTCTTTGAATAAAGAAATTCACTCTATTGCTCTCCTTATAAAGCAAACATGACACTTGCCAAGTCTGATGAGTAAATGGGTGTATTGCAAATCTAAGTGTTTGTGGTGGCAAAGAGTAACAGAAGTTACTGGTGTTACAAAACAAAATTGGTTAACAAAAAGATACTGGTACTGCAGTGGGACTGTGTATCCGTGATGTTTGTCTACACCCAGCCCTACCTCTGTTCTCCTCAGTCTCTGAAGGAATGTGCCGAAGCAGTGCAGGGATACTGTGCACTAATACATTTGCTTGTTGGACCCTGAGTTGTAATGTATTCCTACAGCACTGCTGTTAGGGATCTGGAAGGTTATAGCAGGGATGTAATGCTGGGAAAGGGCAGTTACATATAGCAAAGGGCCTGGCAAGAGAGAGGTTCTTCTCCTGCAGAGGTACCAGTCTGGGCAGAGGTGCACAGAGATCTCTGTTCCTCTCTGCAGCCCCATAAGCCCCCCTATAAGCTAGCTGCTTGGAACCTCTGCTGTGTCCCAGTCAATATGGCACCACTATCCACCCCATACATTTTTATCTGGCCTGTACCCTGTCATCAAGTTTACTATTGGCACAAAAATAGTGATTTCTGTGCACATAACCACCCCTTCCTTCAGTTGCGTTCATGTTCTGAGGTAGTTTTAACTCATTTCTACGGAAACATATATCACAATCTACGCTGTATCTATATGTAATCTATATGCTACCACTGCAAGGGCATACACTGGCTGGTTCTGAAAGACTGCAGAGCACTACCTATCACCCACCACTGCATTAGGGCTCTCTTTGCATCAGTGCTATGTTGCGAAGTATTCACTGGGCTGGGGCAAGGGTTCACCTTTTTGGGACACTGCAGATCTCTAGCGAGGCTCATCAGCAAATCGTGGGAGATGGGATCCACCAAATTGAGGAAAGTTGCATTTTTGTAGAGCACTTCATTGAGAAATGTTCCTTCCAGTCCCAGGTCCTACAGGAAAAACAGTCAGTCAGATACATGGGCTTCCTTGAAGCTATAATCATGAGGTGTTTTGAAACCAGAAAGTAAATGTGATGAGGTGCCAGCTGGTTGTTCAATGCAGGAAACTATCCAACAAAGGTGAAGCAGCTGGGTCTGACTCAGCATCACTGTGATGGGGAATGTGGACAGCCAAAGAGCTGAATGAGATGGAGTGTTAAGTTCAGCTAGTCAGCCTGAGCACCTTGTTTTCACTTACCATAAGAAGGTGAGAGTGGTATCATTCCCAGGCTGGCTGGAGCCCAGAGAGAATTAGCTCCAGAGAAGCTCACGGCTTTGTCAGCCTGTATGTGTGAATCTGCTGAAGAAGCTGTGCAGGAAGGCTCGCTCTAAAAATGCCTCTCCAATCTCAGCTTTCCAGGAAGAATCAAACCTTTCTCAGGTATTTAGATGTTGCCATATGCCCTGGTCATGGCTGGCAGAGCAGAAGTCCTTCCTGCCCATCAGTATGAGTTTAGCTGTCCTTTGAATTTCTCACTAAGTGCTAACACTGCCAGTATTGCCTTTTGGGTGTAATGGTAAATTTGTAGGTAACTCTACCATGACAGTCATGGGGAGTCCTCTTCTTGTCTTTCACAGAGTGAGCTGGGGGAATATCTGTAGTCCATGCAACTAACCTGCATGGACTTCGAGTACGAGGCACCTTTGGACTTGCTGGAAGAACCCTCAGCATCCTTGGGAACAAAAAAGCCTCTGAGGGGCATCAGATGGGTGATACTGCAGAGAACTAAGCTGTTTCTTCCTAACGGAAAGCTAAGATCTAACACATGGCACAGTTACTTCCAATCAGGAGATGCCACACAGGGCTGTGAAAATAAAAAAGGGCATCCGGTAAAGAGAGACCACACACATTGAAAATACCTCAAGGACAGAAAAAGAATAACCCAGGATTAGGAATGTAGAACAAAGGAGCTCCCTAATAGGGACAGTGGTGAATTTGATTCAATTGACAAGGAAGGCTCAGCTGAGGAATGAAACAAGTCCTATGCACATTCTGTATGCTGCTGCCAGGAGAAATGAATAAGCAAATGGGTGCCCCATATGTTCGCGCTGCTCCACGGAATGTGTGCACCACCAATGAAAGGTGCTGTGAGAGCTCAGGGAAAAAAGGGAAGAAGAGAGACAGAAAAAAAACAGCTGGGTGTACACACATCCATCAGCAGCAGGGACAGAGCCATAGCTAGCAGTGGTGTGGGATCTTAACCCTAAGCAGCAATTACAGCCAGTGTTGTACCTACTCTCTCCTGCCTGGATTGAGCAGAGAGCACAGTACAGGAGAGACCCTGGCTACAGATCTAGTGGAGAAAGGGATGATAAATCAAATGCTTTACAGCCCCGTTACTGTGTGTACACAGATGACACCCATAAGCAAGCAAGGAACCCAAGCAGTGGATCAGTCCCGAAAGACAGCCAGCCAGACACAGCTGGATGTGGGCCAGGAGCATACCAAGGCACCATGCCAATGTCTCCCTTAACCATAAGGCTTCAGGGAAATGGAGCCTCCTACGCCAAGTGTAATATGCGCCGATGAAGCAAGCTGCCGAGTGGATGGCATGGCTGGGCATGCAGCAGTGGATGTCAGAGCAGTAATTAAACTCCCCCAGTTGGAGCTATACTATTAAGATGAATTTGCATTCCCATTATAAATCCTGCCTGCAAGGGCTTTATATGTAATATAGCTGTAAATATTCATTTCATGTTGATAGTCCATAAATTCTTAGCCCAGGGATGTTTTCTGGTTCATTTTACTTTACTTCCCTCCCTCCTTCCCTCTATCATTTCTTGGAAAATTTTAAACCACATAAAGGATGGCTGCAGACAGCAGAATATTGTAAGTCTTGCCAGATCAGTTTGCTTAGTGCTGTTATCTTAAAAATTATACTTGGCCATTGTCTGGGTGCAGGGATATTGGATTGTACCAGACTTTGTACTGGTGTAAATCCATCGTCTCCCCTGGCTTCAGCTCAGTGATGTCCATTTAGACCAGCAGAAATCCGGGCTGCCTTTTGCAAGTGGTTATTTCTGAGACTGGTAAGGTGATGTGCAGTGAGTTGTCCAAGCGTTCCTGTACAAAGGAAGTGTACCTGAGTGTATACCTATGGTTTGTGGTTATTCTCAGTGCAGTCTTCTAAAATGGTGGGACCTTGCATCTGTGTTAGTGGATCTGCTTCTGCCTGGCTTGCTTTACCTTATTACACCCTCCTCACATCCTAGAGCAGTCCACAGCCCTTTGGGGTCTGCAGACACAGGTCAAAACCCACTAGCAGATACAATTACACCCTGCAGGGTACATCTGCAGGGCTGGACAAGGTCTTTCTCTGCCGGGAGCAGCAGGCTGCCTGCAGCAGGAGGCACACACCAGCAGCCCCTGAGCATGCCTGCGGAGCAACCTGAGGAGGCTGTGATTCTGGTCTCACCATTGCTCTGCCTTCTCTGGGGTGTGTGTACCCTGCCCAAGGCACAGTGATGAGGTATGGTGTTAAATATCACTGTCCACTAAACAAGGTATCTCTTTCTTTTTACAGGTTACAAACAGACTCTTACCTGGGACACATTAATCCGCGACTCCTTAGAGCATCTTACTGCCAAGGTAGGCCAGTCTGTGTAAGGAAGGACATGCTTGGGGACCAAGCTAAGGAATGAATTTAGCTGGGGAACGAGGTAAATTTGTAAATGGGAAAAAAGGCTGATCGTAGTACCCTCTAAGCTGATGCTGGACATATGAAGAGGACTGTTCTGGTTACTTGACCCCAGACTGGCTGACAGTTGTGTTTAGTTGTTGAAGGTTGTGGTGTGTATTAGTGGTGTAGCTTTGTGCCTCTGAAATATCTGAGCACACAATGAACCGGAGTCTTTGGGGTGGTGTTGGATGGATTCCCATCTCACTGTGTTGTGACTACAGGATGCACGTCTCACTGCTCCGTCATGAGCAGATGAACGGAGGGTCACTGTTCCAACATGGGCAGGCAGAGATGGGGACCAGGAATAACAAGAGGAACTGGAAAGGCAGTGGAAAAAATCTGATGTTCAGGACATGATGATTCTCAGTGCAGATGCGCTGAGTGTTTAACTGGTCCTGAAAGGAGGGCTTAGAAATGACCCTCCATGCCAGATGGCCCTGTGACTTAGCATTCAAACCATGGCTGTTCACAATTGGATCTTGTGGAGACCTCCAAGGCCTGTGGAGGATTTCAGTGCTTCAGTCTCAAGGAGAGGTGCTGAGCACTATAGAAAATAACATTCTGTAGTTCTGGCCTCGGGCATACTCTACAAAAGTCTGTTCATGTTACATTGCTGCATTCATGAAGTGAGTGGTTGCCTCTCTCTTCAGAAGCTTCTTGTAATGGTGCCTCTCCAAACTGCCTTTGAAATGTTATTCCACCTTTTTCTGCCACACCGGTACAGGCTTTATCTGTCTACATGTATGGCAAGAACAGCGTTGAGCTGGTGGCAATCCTCATGTGAATGCTAAGGCAGTGAACAGGAAAAGTAGAGATACAGGTTTTGGTCCTGTAAGTTCTTACTTCTAAATGTGCAACCTGCTTGGGAACACTGACCACCATTGTTGGATGTGTTGCAAAGCCCAGGATGTTCAGAGCAGGGAGGGCTGCTAATGCAGCTCCCTGCAGCTGGTAATATGGCTGCAAGCATCCCAGCAAGCCAGTCCTGCTTCAGTACACTCCCCGAGTAGCCCAAAGATTACTTGCCACTATGGTGAGAAACTGAGTATGTTCCCAAGATTATGTAGGTCATTATCTAACAAAGATGAAAGCTAAGAACTGATGGTGGTTTATGTCCAAATCAGAGGGAGGATTCATCCCCTGTGTTACTGACTGCAGAGTTGCCTGCAGCTGGGGGAGCGAGTTTGCCTGGAAAGTGATGGTAGCACTGAGCGATGGAGTAGATGGCTCTGTTCCAGCAGCAGGGCTCTGTCCTCAGCAGCAGTTTGGCACCACACTGTCTGCACACTGGCTTTTCTGTTCCTGAATAGTAGCAGACAGAAGAAAGCTTCCACTGATACACTGACCCCTTTACCTCTCCTCTCCCTGAAGACTGCCACAGAGGTCCTCTTCCTCTCCAAACCCATTTTGGGCTCTCCCAAAAAACAGATCTTGGCCAGCCTGGCTGGATGGACACAATGGGATGTGGTGGCAGCGGGATGGCATTGGCTTTTCTCCGGGGGGACATCAATCCCGAGCGCACCCAGCGACTTGCACTGAGGGGTGTGGATGGGCACAGCTGAGGCTTGGACCCCCCTTTTCCTGCCAGCAGCCGAATCCTCCAGCCCCTCCGCCCGGACAGGGAGCCGGGCTGGGGGCCGGGTGGGTGTCGCCTCCGGCAGCCGCTTCTGCCTGCTGCGGCGGGCACCTAGCGAGGCAGCTCCCGCACCGCCGGGGCGAGGAGCGGAGAAAGGCAGCACAAAGAGCCCGCCCCGCCCCGCCGAGGGGAGCTGCAAACCCCACACTGCCGAGGAGGGGGGCTTGTAAACCCCGGCTCCCCTCCCCGCTCTGCAGACCCCGGCCCGGCCGGCACCGCCCGCGCCGCGCACAGCCCTTTGTTGCCCGCCCTGCCCCGGAGGTGGCTGCCGGGGCCCCTCATCGCTCTCAGCATTTACCTTGCGAAGCAGCCTGAGGATGTGCACGGCGTGCTCCCGCTTGTGCTCCCGGATGGTGGCCTGGATCTCCCGCAGCCACCCTACCCGCCGCACGTAGGGCGCCGGCGAGGCTTTCCGCAGCACCCCGGGCAGCTTCTGTGGATGGAGGAGCAGGGAGGAGAGGTGGAAGTCGCCCCGGCCGCCCTCTAGCCTGCCGGCGCAGGGCTCCTCGGTGCTCTCCTCTTCCAGGCTGCTCTGCCGGCTGAGGCGGGAGCCCATGGCCGCGTTCCGACCGCGATGCCGTCGTGCTTCGGGCCAGGCGGGTACGGGGCTGTGGGCCGGGGGAGGTGCCGGGGGAGGCGGGGGGTCTGGGCGGCTCCGCCCCGGCTCCCCGTGCTCCCCGCTGGTAGTCCCCGGCACTCCCGGAGCAGCAACGCCCAAGGGGTATTTTATTTGCTCGGGTCCCAGCCCCAGCACCCGCCTCCCCAGTGGCTGGGCAGCCCTCGCTGCCTCTTCTCCCTAAGGCTCCTCCTGTGCCGGGAAACGCTCGGTGGGAAAGACAAGGAGAGAAGCGGATGCTGCCGGGAGCGCCCCTTGCATCCAGGCATTTTGGGGAGTTTTGGTTTGTTTTTTTTTTCCCCTAGGCAAACTCGTTGAATGCTGCAAAAGGTTGTCGAGATTAATAGTGGTTCAAAACACGCCATCTGTCTAGGACTTCTTCTGCGGGCTATGTTTTCTCTTGGTCTGCTGCTGGACCCAGAGGAGGTGGTTTTTAACAAAGTGGCAGGAATTTTGCCCACCACCCGTTGTCTCCAAGTGGTAGTATGATGCTGGCACTATTCCTTACCTGCTGTGGGTAAAAGTGTTTTCCTCTTATGCATTCCTCCCTCCTCCAGCAGTGCACAGCAAGTTTAAAATCACTGCCATGCGACAGGGTGGTAAAATATAACGCTCGAATTCCACCTCAAACCACTGAGGTTTTGCAGGCAACTGAGTCGTGGTGGCTCAGCCTGACCTGCTCTGGAGCTGGAGCCGTAGGTGCCCATGATGGACCGTAAGTCCTGCACACAGAGGAGTGTGTGATAGCTGTAATGTGAGGGCACACAGCTATGGAAACAACCTGAAGTTCTTACTGCCTTGTGCATCCCTTAAACAAGTATCATCTGGTGCATATGCAGTAGAATCTGTTCTTGTGGTCATTGGGTCTTCACTTTGGGGGAATGGGGGTGGCTGTGGCTCTTTGCTGTACAGAGCCAGCAAGGTTCATTTTCTTTCTCAGCAGTCCTCAGCCGTGAATGGGGCTGGAGACGTGTGTGTTCTGCATCATTGCAGCCTCTTTCATATGCGCTATGGGTGACCTCAGTCTGGCTTGAAGAGACAGGGACAAAATGGGGCTGGACTCTTAACAGCAGCCTGGCCAATGCATCAGTTTTGTCACAGCATTTACGCGGATCTCTAATCATGACAGCCCAAATCCTGACAGCCCTTCTTAGTGTTTTACTCAATGTTTGGTCAGACCTGCTCTATCTAAGAACCTGCAAGAGAGAAATCAGCGTGACAGATGCTGAGATATCACTGAGCCTGACTCAGGCTAATTCCATTTGGAGGGAGTAGATGCTGAGTAAGGATTTAAGGATCTGGTCAGAGAGCTTCGAGAGAGGCTGGGTCAAGAGAAAATCACTTGTTTGGGGTGCAGCATTATGGCTGCAGGAGTGTCACTGGGAGCAAAGGGAAGGACAATAACTGGCTGGAGCGATGGGTAAAGGTGTCAGCGGAGGCAACTAGACAGGCTGCCTTAGATTTGTGCTTCTGCCTGCTCTGTTCTGCGAGTGCTACTGAAGGGAGAAGTGGCAACAGCAGGGTTTGTAACCAAAGGGTCGGTTTAATAGCTGAATGGCTTTGTATGGCTAATTGTCTCATACCTTATCTCCAAGAGTCAGGAGAAGGAAACATAATCTGCAGTTTACACGTAGGCAAGGATGAGCTCATGTGCATTGTTCCAAGGCAGTGGGAGAACCAAGGCAAGCGCCTCAGAGGATGGCACTGGTACTAGGACACCTTCTACTTCCAAGTGAGTGCCAGTTTGAAATATCCTACCACAGATCAAATCCTCTTAACAAACAAACACTTGCAGGAGCAGTTCAGCTCTCTCTGGTCTGTGTGTTTTACAACTGGAGACACTACAATAGTATGAATAATAGGAGCTAAAGAGAAACACACCAGTGCTTGTGTTTACTGAGGGAGAATGTCTGGATGGCAGCTCTTTGTAGACTAAGAAATTATTCTGCCCTATCTGTGTGAAGGGCATTATGACAGCTAGTGAGTGTATTTCTCTAGCTAAGATGGTCAACAAAGTTTGCTGCATGTATGGGGAGGAGGCAGGAGTTTGCTTGGGAAGAGTAGACTGTGTCAGAGAGTGCATCCTCTGGTCCTGTGCAGCCCCAGGAGAGACTGAGCCAGTAGGCAAGGATGGATACCTGGGGGATACCAATCTACAGGAGTGTTCCCATCTTCCCTTTCCTTTTTGCTGTGGTTGCATTACAGGGAGATAGATCAGTTCATGAGCTTGTTGGGTAGGACAGAGTGAGGACTACAGGGTCTCTCACTGAGGCCCCACCTCATCCCAGTGGATATATTAGCACTTCTCAGAAGGATATTAATTTGTTCTAACCTTAACACAGCTGTACAAGGTGCTGCCAACTGCAACTAGCTGGGTGTAGCATGGCTAACAAAAGAGTTTTACCAAAAGTCTTTCTTAAAATGAGAAATGGGAAAAATGAAAGGTAAACAGAAATCCTCTCGCTAGTCACTCAATTCTGCGCTGTAAGCACACCTCCTTGTTGTCATCCCAGTTTCCAGTAATGGGAAAACTCCCAGCTCCTGGCCTTTTGAGCAAGGATAGCTCAGTCAGTGGCAGAAACAGCATAGTAACTGTACTGGAACAGACTGCAGGCCTCTTTCCCCTGGAATCCTGAATTACCAGTGGTTGATAGAGG